TCCTCTGTCGCCCCTTCTCCTCTTGCCTTCACACTTTCCCAACATCAAGGTCTTTTCCAGGGAGCCTTCTCAGCAGGGGACACTTAACATGGTTTCCCTTCTCTTGTGCATTTAGGACACTACCCTATATCTCAACACACCTTGGAAGCACTGAGGGCTATGCTAATCACAGCAAAATGTGCATCCTTCCAGATTCCACAAGCTTCAGCCACCAAAGCAAATGGAGAGAGATAACAGGAGCTGTAGTCCCACATATGAAAGTCCAGGTCTCTACAATCCATGCAATGTATAATTATGTAATATGCACCTGAAATGTGTTTTTAAACTTCCAAATACGTAAGTGCAAAAAAATTATTATGCAGTTTGGAACTCTCGGATACAGAAATTTAAATTTTCCTGCTCCAGGTGTTGTTTCTTAAATTTTTCTTTCAGTGCAGCAGGTCCATTAATGGGCAACTAAGGCCTCCTCACCATTTTCACCTTTCAGTACATGCAATTTAGGGAAACAAACAGTTGGGTGAGGGGAGGAGACATTTAAATCATCCCTCTGCACATGGTGGTCCTGATCAAGGCCCCATACAAATACTCATAAATGATGAAGGGATCATGGCTTAATGCCATGATCCCCACTGTGCCTCCTTGATAGGGGCTAAAGGGATCATGGCTTAATGCCATGATCCGCACTGTGCCTCCTTGATAGGGGCTAGACTTGATGATCCACAGGGTCTGCACTTCTAAGATAATGATGATGATATCTATTTCACGTAACTGAGAGTTCTGCACTAAGCTGAGAGAAGACTGGACTTATTTCAATACTACAATTTGATTTACTCTAAATTGAGTATTTTGGTTAATGTTTAATTAAAACATTAGAAATGTGTAATTAAATTTTTGGGAATACAGTTAGGGATAGCCCATAAATTCATATACTGTACATACACTGAATGGGTCACTAACATAATTTGTTAACAGAAACTATAAGCTAATTTTTAAAATCTTAGCTATCTGCTATGAATGATTTATAAAAAAGCACCAGAGTGAACTTGCGTAGGGGGCTCTCTTGGTGGTTTTAGTTAATTAAATAAAATTAGAAAGGAATGAAAGTTGGATGGGAGTATTAGTTCCTTGGAGATGCCTCAAGTCACTTTTCAGGAATGTCTTAGGAGAGAGGATGAACAATTGTAGTCCTCTAGAAGTTTTGGATGGCAACTCCCATAATCCTTCACTATTGGCCATCCTGGCTAATGTTGTGGGAAGCTGAAGACCAAAAAAACATTTGGAAGGATGTAGTTTCACATCACACTTAAGGAATGGTTCTGTAATGGTGATTTAAGAGATGTCATTTCTTTCTTCCTTCAAATTTGGGGAACAATTCTGGAGTATTCATTACAAGAGACGCTGTTTTAAGTTACACAAGTACCAAAGGTCTACTTCTTACTAGCATCCACTTTCTTTTGCAGAGTTCAGTAGTGCAACATATTTCTAGTGTGGCATCAGCTAGTGAGGTTTTAAGAGTTCATGCAGGGCAAATCTTCACTAAATTGAAAACAGAAGTGAAGGCAGAAACTAACAGCTCTTCTAGAACACTCCATCATCTTTTACTTGAGCACACTCCTGAACTGCAGCGAGTCCTGGACCCTGTGTGCACGGCAGGAGAGGAAGCTGAACACCTTCCATATGCGTTGCCTGATGTATTTTTGGTATCACCTGGCAGGACAAAGTTCCAAATAGAGTAGTCCTAGAATGAGCTGGAATTTTTAGCATGTATACATTACTGAAACAGCGACGTCTCCGTTGGCTTGGGCACGTCGTGAGAATGCCTGATGATTGGATTCCAAAGGATCTCCTGTATGGAGAATTAGTGCAGGGAAATCGCCCCAGAGGGAGACCACAGCTGTGATACAAGGACATCTGCAAGCGGGATCGGAAGGCCTTAGGAATGGACCTCACCAGATGGGAAACCCTGACATCTCAGCATTCAGCCTGGAGGCAGGTGTTGCATCATGGCCTCTCCCAATTTGAAGAGACCCTTGTCCAGCAGGCCAAGGCGAGGAGGAAGTCACAAAAGCAGCAAAACCAGGGAGCTGGACAGGGGACAGACTGGATTTGTCTTCAGTGTGGAAGGGATTGTCACTCTCGAGTCGGCCTCCTCAGCCACACTGGATGCTGTTCCAGGTCCTCCATACAGAGCACGTTACCGTAGTCTTTCGAGACTGAAGGATGCCTAACTAATTATAATTCCAATTATTACAAGTTTGTTCAAACTTCATATATGTCTCTTATAACAGTGAAAGATTCCATCATTATTTCCTCAGGTCAACTTTTTTTTCCAGCTTCCACCATAACCTAAAGTTATAGTGAAGCGTCATTCATTTGTTGACACATGCCACTTAGGTTTAGATGGTGCTGGTTCTTGGTATGTGGCTAGGTGGGACAAATGTCACAACTAGAAATGGAATGCAAGCAGTACATGCCACACTTGTTTAGGGGCCACACTAACTAGAGAAGGTGGGTTGATTTTCCCACCAATCTGTGTATCTTGGATCTTCACCATCACATTCTGGGCAAACTCTCAATTCTCATTTAACAGCTATGACCAGAAGTAGATTTGAATATATATTATTTAGACAATTGCAAGGGAGTTGGCTCCCATTGTCCAAGCTTTTGTCAGAGGTAGGACAGAAACTGAGACGTATGTTCCAGGAATGCTGTTAAAGTAATCACCACTGATGCAAGAGATGGCATTCCATCTCTTCAATGGGATGGGATCTCAAAAGTCAAACCACACCCATACTGAGGAACTTGCCTTGCTTTAGTTTGCTACTGGTGACAATTTGCAATCCATAGAACAGCTTTACAGCAAAGTCTAGTCTACCTTGAGGTTAGGGAGAACATTCGACCCACAAGGTGACTGAGTTCTCCATACACCATGCCTACTTAAAATGTCATCAGTCAAACAGTGGAGCACTTACAGTATCCTCCAGGAGTGGAGGTTCACCATTCATGATCTGACATGTTCTTAGGATGCAAGTCAAAATGTTTTTGTTGTTGCATGCTTTCCATCCTCTCCAGGGTTTGGAGTCTTCAAATGGTTTCTATTGCTTTGGAAATTAGTCTTCTTCTAACTGTTCTAGGTTTGTTAACATTTTAAGTGAAAGCTGTTTGACTTTCCAAAAGGTAGGGTTATGCAACTAAAAAAAAAAAAATCACCTGCCAATAACTTCCTCCTGTAGTGACCAGTTAACTCTGGAATGTGACCTATGCTGATTTCCTGGCATGGAGATCCTCCTAAAAAGTCAGCGCCTTTCACAGCTCTAAAGAATGCTAACTGGGTATACGAGTTATGAATGCTCGAGCGGATGCACTAGAAACTCGTATGAAGTGCCTGCACCATGGAATTCATGCACTCCGATGCCAGATTCCCTGCCATTTTGTGAGAAAGCACCTGCTTGGAAGCAACAAGTACAAGGAACAACTACACTTCTTGTTGGCCACCTTAGCATCTGTCACTGACACTGGTTTTATTCAGCAGTTCACAAACGCTCCTTAGCTACCAGGAAAATGGGGCTTAAAAGCAGAGGAACTCTTTCTCCTCATCTTGAGCCAACCTTTGAGGGAAACTTTGGTTCTCTGGAAAACTTCAAGAGATGGGTAGAATTAATCTCACCTTGCACTGAAGTCTTCTGTCTCTCATCATGGACAGCTGACTGCTGCCAAGCAGAACAACACAGGGACTAAGGTACTTCCATTTAATCTATAGCTGAATTTGGCAAGGTGTGTTCTTCCAGCTATATTGCTAGATAGCAACTCACATCATCGGTCACCATTGGACATACTGGCTGGGAATCATAGGAGTGGCTGCCTACCACCTTGAGGGCGGCACTCTCTCTACCCGTGGTCTATAAGGAGAAATCCGTTCAGAAAACTCATGCTGATTTTGCCCCCGACAAAGCTGATTGCGTGCCTCCCCTCCACTTTCTTTTGCCCAGCACTGCAAAAAGGTTGGCATAGAAACTGCATGAGGGCCAGGCATCACAGCAGCAGTTACACAAGCCCCATTTAGAAAGAAAGGAGCAACTCCTCCACAGGAGGATTTGTGTAGGCCACAAGGGAGGGCAGGCTTAGGAAGAAAGGAGCCCACTCGCACTGAGTGTACAAGGCAGCCATTCCCTGAAGATGCACACTAACTCCCAGGAAGAACACGCACATCAAGCTGCTGTCAAGTCAAGGCACTGCTGCCTCACGGACGGCTTCTGAGACATGGCTCATATTTAAGAGACCATGCTACTTGCATAATGTGTACTACACTTCTGTCTCCATCGTACGGAGACAATGCCAAAAGGAATCTATTTCCTTTTAGAGACTGCCTAGCAGTCGGCATAACTCCTTGAGGCAGGAACAATGAGTTCTCAATCCAAGAAAAGAAAGTCCAAGTGGATGCATGAGAAGCTAGATCTGTGTAATCCCCATCACCTTCCAAGTGCACAGCAGGCTCTTCTGGGGACCCTGTTTTCTTCCCAGATGAACGTCCAAGACATCTGGGGCAGAGCCTGGTTCATTAACTTGACTGGCTTAATAACAACACCGTGGAGCAATAAAGCAGCTGGTTGACAAACAAGCAAGTCTTCCCTATCCTTAGCATGTGTTCTAAGACTGTATAGAATGGGTTACTAGGGATGGGATTTTTTTTATTTCTTGGATTACAAATCCCACAATTTTCCATTCTGGGAGTTCTATCTGACTTACACACATCTTACATACACATAAATGTGACTCATTGGGGAGAAAAGGCTTAAATTAGAGGGTACTGAGGCTAAAAAATCCCAACCCTACCATTCACTCTTGACTTTGTATCAGGTTCTACCAGTTAATACATATTTAAGAAAAATACATTCTCCTTAGATCAGACTCTCTCTCCGTCCGGGGTCACCACCATCCCCAAAATGTTTCAGATCCCAAAGGAGGGGCTGTGACCAAGATCATGTGACTGGACACTGGAAAGCAAAGGCATCAGAAACACTTTATTGTTGCCACTTGCACTGTTCCTCTTTATTTTGATTGAGGAGCCACGAAGGATTCAGCCGAGAAATGGAAATACTTTTGCTCATGAACAGCAAGTGGAGAGTTTGGAGCCATCAGAGAGACAGGATGAGAGCATTAATCTCACCTAGCTTCAACCAGAGGGCACAGGCTGGGAAATCAGAAAGGAAAGCAATTTAGTGAGCTCCATGGTTGCTCTCTAAGGCCACTTTGCACATCTGCAATGCTGTTTCCCACGGGGACTAGCAGACCTCCAAGTCCCACTAGCTCTCTCCCCACACCCCTGTTCTTATTGGCAGTGGAAAAGAAGAAATCCCTCCTTGCCCCTCCGTCCCACAGGCACTGAGCCACACTGTCCACTGTGGGCCCAATGGAGCACACTAAGAATTCACTGCAGGGGAGCTGAATGTCTGTACCTTCCCCATGACACCAGGGGGAAAGACTCTGTGCTCCTTCAGGGACACCCTTACATTTGCTCAAAGAACTAAAAACCACTGCAACCAACAGAGAGCTACTCAGACGGAGAGAATGTTCGTTCCCAGCCAGCAATGAACAGGGAAAGGGAGGGCTGCCACCTAGCGAACAAAGCAAACATAGCAGTACCGAAGAATGAGAACTGGCCACAGGCACAACTGGATTTAAGAAACCACAATGTACTTATTTTATCTATTTAGCTCCCAAAGTATAAAGCAAGGGTGGGCAAGTTGCAGTTTCCCATATGTTTCCGGGCTATAGTTCCCATCAGTCTGGGCCAGCATAGCCAAATGGTGAGGGCTGATGGGCACCACAATCCATAAACACCCAGGTGGTCACAGCTACCTACTCCTGGTGTAAAAACTGGCCAAAGGGCGCCATGATGACCAGTGTGGCATATGAGCACATTATTAAAAGCAGGAGCTAAGCATGACCCATCCGGTCAAAGATGTACCCAAATCATTGGTTAACTTTCCTCATGCTCATAAGGACTTGCCTAGTTGTGAAGTGGGAGGACAGCATCTCGGGTGTAATATGAAAGGATCGTGGCCCTCGGGGACCCAAGGGATGGAAACAAACAAGTGCTGGCTGAGCCCTTTGATGGCCAGGCATCCAGGATTCTGCCCAGCAACAGGGCTTCAGTTGAAAACCCACTCGAAAAATGGCACCTTTAGAGACACCCAATGCCACAGTGCTATTTCTCATATTTTGCATGAAAGTACATTACTCATTTCCAGTAGGTGGAGCAAGGAGGAAAGAAAGAGGTGTCTATTTTCCTCCATCTGAGCTGTTGACTCCATATACTAGGAGGAACCTCAATGACTGCTGCAGCAGATTTCACAAATCACACATCCAACAATCCCCTGCACCAACCCATTCAACTACTCAGCCACAGAGAAAGGTCACCGTACATCGGCAGGTCATTTAGACACAAAGGTCATGCCCAGCGCAGACCAGCTGGCTCTCGAGGATGTATCATTTGGGATACCGCCATGGGTTACAGTGACGAGACAGGCTGGTCAGGGCTACAGTTTGGGGCATCTGAAGCCATGTACTCCCCAGTCAAGTCTTTGACATTTTGCAGGGCAGATCCGGATCGCATAGAATAAATTGGGATCCAGCCTTTCGCCACATCCCATAGGTGGAAAACCACAGAAACATTCAGGTCTTCTACATGAGGAAAAGAATGTTTATCCCCGAGTGGGCAGCCTGGTCTTGCCATTTCCCTAACCCCTTCTCCACTCAGTAACGCAAGACCAAAGTCAAGCTAGCAGGCATCTCCTGCCACAGAAAAAAAGGTGATGTGGCATCTGGATCAGCATTTCTGCACTGCTGTGACAGTCTAAGGAGAGTATAAGAAACGGCTTCACAATTAATAGGACTCCAGCCTTCTCCAATAACTCCTGAATTCTGCTCAGCATTTTCACATTCTGAATTTCTGGAGGAAGAAGAAGAAAAAGCAGGAGGCCAGCGTAGGATTTTAAGCATTAACCCTTAGCAACTGCTTTAAAGACTCCTAATGTGGTAGGAAAGAGGGCTTCTATTTTATATTTTTAAGAGCTTGAGCCCTGTGGCCTTGCATTGCTTCCTGGTGCATAGAAATGTAAATATATTCATCTCAAAAGGGCACTGAACATGAGGTCCTTCTCTTGTGTCTCCACTAGCTAGTTAGCGCAAGTAGCTGCCGCTGGTGATGGAAGGAAGGCTCCCGCCTCAGCGCCAAACTCACTGTCTAATGCAGGTACAGGCTGTTGGTCAAGAATCCCACTCTTGCAAAGAGAGGTGAAGACAGGCAGGTGAAAAGGAAAGCTGAGAGAGTCCCCAGCAGTTCTTTCCTCAGCGTAGCAACAGAAAGCTCCTAACTCTTCACAGTGCCTGTAAGCTCCATAGAAGAACCGGGGGAGGCTTAGGCAGAGTTAGCAAGAGGCTGTGCTGGCATCTGAGACAGGTCTCCAGCTGAAATCTGGTCTGTAGAAAGCATTTGGCTTGAAGGGTCTGAGAGTCATAATTTAATCCAATTTAAGTTTTTTTTTTAAAAAAAGGAGGAGTGTGCACACTACAAAATAATCTTGATATGGGAACATTAACCAGTTACAGCTTCTATTCTGTGCAGGAAACCTGCTCCAGCATGGCTGTTCAGTGCCAACAGGATACCATGGAGGCCTCGCGCACTCCAGGCATGCTGGGATTCCAGGATGCTGTGGAAGGATTCCCCAGGAACTGAAGTTAAGACGCAGCCACCAATTCTGGCTTTGGTTTGACTCTGACTGGGGATGTTTCTGTGGAGAGAAGGAAAAACAGATGTAAAGAGGAAGGAGTTAACTCCCCAATGAAGTTACATCCAAACAAACGTTCACCAATAGTTTATCAAGTCCTCCTCCTAGTAAACATTTTGAACTCAGCTTTTGAGCTCTCACAGAGATGTGTGCGGCTATCTATTCATACATGAGTTGTCTCTGCCCAAACTCTGCTCATAACTGATTTCCATTCAGGAAGATTCTTGGTTTTCCCTTTGAGAGATACCTCAATGACTGCATACTTTGTGTCAGAGCAGGAGCATTCTTCAAGAGATGTCCTGATACAGTTTAATGGCTGCATCTGTCACAACAGCTAAAGGAGCCAAAGGATGAGATAGTGCTCTCCTCCAACAAAAAGGTACTGGTATAGGCTCTCCGTTTCCCTGCAGAGACTAAGGCTGTGCAGGACAGGGTTGCAACTTAGTAGGAGAGCAAGAACACCTGACACACCCATTTACCTGAGGTCTTTTAAACAGAAAAAGAGGCCGTGGAGAAGAATATTGATACACTGACATTTGTGGTATAGCAGCACTGAAGCTATAGTATGTTATGGCGAATGCAGTAGGCAGTGGCAAGAGATTCTCCACCAGGCGAGACTACAATTACACCACAAAAACCTATGCAGTTCAAAAATTATTCTCTAAGCCACTTTCCCCTATACCTGCATGAACCATACTGTTGCTAATTAGAGGCTCTGCTTTGATTCTGGGTTCTATGCAAAGCCTCATGCACAATGAGACTATGTTAAACCACAAGAAACTAAAGCAGAGACTCTTTAATTAGCTGCAACTTGCCATGGTAGCTCACATAATTTCTCTTACACTGGCATAACTCGTGCAAGAAGACTTTGGCCAATATATACAGGTACCCATTCATATGCTAAGGAGAAGTATCGCCAAAGTTAAACTGAAAGCTACCACAGACTCTAAAAATAAAAAGGCAATTTTTGCAACTTGTTTCTTTCTGAAACATATTTGCATGATTACAAAGTTACCTGCTGAGTTTGATTTGTGCTACATAGGCTGGAGCCACAAAAGGTTCCAGGCCTCATTGTTACAGAAATTTATAAAAATGCTCAGACAGAGGTTATCAGTACAGTACCTGACATTCTTATGGTCTGTGTAACATCACATTGCCAGCCCAACTGCTTTATACACCTACTGCTGCCTATATAAGTTTTCCATGAATTCCATACACCACTGGCTACCTTACATTTCAGAGTCTGCTTTAAAACAAACAAGTAAGCAAACAATCCAACCACCCAACCAACAAACCCCAACAAATGTTTGGCTAATCAACATTCTCTATTGGTTGAGCAGTTAGTTAAAGTAAGATTTTATTATGACATTGGGAATTCAGAATCTGATGGCAAATAGGAAGTACAGTGGGGTCTCGACTTACGAACTTAATCAGTACTGGAAGGTGGTTCGTAGGCTGAAAAGTTCGTAGGTCGAATCTGCATTTCCCATAGGAATGCATTGAAAACCATTTAATCCGTATCTGCTCTTTTCAGTCCATAGAAACTAATGGAAAGCTGCTATTCCACCTTCTACCACTAGAGGGGGATATTTTTCCTTTTTTCCTTAGGTTCAGGAAAGGAAGGGGGAGGCAGGGAACAGTTTTAAAAGCACTTTTGAAATCTTTTTTTTTTCAACGAAGCCAATTTTAAATCATGTTTTAAAGCATGTTGTGCTGATTTTTTCAGCGCAAAGACACACAGGCAGGCTTTTTAGGTGCTGAGCAAGCCTCCCGAAGCCTGTTCAGAGCCAGCCGATCAGCTGATAGGCGGGGAGAGGAGGGGGGGGAAAGCACAAAATGGCTGCCAGGCTCCTTCTGGGTGTGGGCATTTAGCTGCTTCTTGCTCTTCTTCCTGCTGTTTGGGGGTTACAAAGGCCTGGTAAGTGACTTTCTTTTATTTATTTTTAAGTTTCTGACCTTTCCCCCCCTCCAGAAGCCTCTAAGGGGAGGGAGGGGGCACTTTTTTCCTGTCCGTAACTTGAGGGAAGTTTGTATGTTGAGTCCTTATTTCCCTTATAGGGCAGGTTCGTAAGTTGAATTGTTCGCAAGTAGGGTTGTTCGTAAGTCAAGACCCCACTGTATAACACAACTGGCACTATGATAAGGTATCTACTGGCTCCATAACAAGATGCTTATTGGCTTTTCATAATGCCATGTTCTGCACTTTAAATGGGAGAAGCTATTTAGTATTTACACAATGTTATGAAACCTTATACAATCTAAACCTATTGCAGCCTACCCTTACTCCAATATGGAAGGCCTAGTGAACTGGAGTATTAAAAAGGCTGATATTCCACAAATGTGGAAGTCATTGGTTCAAATCTTATTTCTGCCTTGAATTCACTTGGTAGCCTTACTGTTTCTGTTTTGCACTCTATGTAATGTATTGTAGTGTTTTTACTAATTAGAATTGCTTATTTATATTGTTACTGTATTTTATTGTTGTTAGCCGCCTAGAGTGGTCCTCACCGACCAGATAGGTGGGGTATAAATTACATTAAATTAAATTAAATTAA